CTATGAAGACCTACTTTACTCAGCACTTGAAGTGGTGCAGGGACTATACATTCCAACTCTACTCACCAGATGAAGTGGTGCAGGGACTATGCATTCCAACTCTACTCACCAGATGAAGTGATGCAGGGACTATGCATTCCAACTCTATTCACCAGATGAAGTGGTGCAGGGTCTATGCATTACAACTCTACTCACCAGATGAAGTGATGCAGGGACTATGCTTTCCAACTCTACTCACCAGATGAAGTGGTGCAGGGTCTATGCATCCCAACTCTACTCACCAGATGAACAATCTAGATTCTGTGTCTGCGTGTACGAGTAGCCGCACTGACAAATGCCATTCCGACATTCAACTCTGTCCAGTTCTTTGGATTCCAAGTAACACTGACTGTTTTGTTCGCAAACTTCGCCCAGCACTGGAAGACAATGATAATTATGAGTCACTAACCCACAGATGACAAAATGTTTACAGGTAGCTGAGAGTCAATCGAAAATCTAAAATCAAACGAAACATTATTTTACGTCATATGATTGAAGATGATATATCTACATATTTGTATATAGTCAACATTAAAAGACTCTTCTCTGGAATTGTTATAAATGTGCTTTAATATGCGTTTATCTTAGGTACAGCACATGACAATGAAGACATACGCGAACCAGTAACATTATGTTGGCAGTCCTGTTTCTTGGACTATATCACATATATTTTTAGTGCAATAGATACACAGCTATTGTCTTCGTGGATTCGAATCCCACCCAAGGCATGGACGTCTGTTTACATTTATTCTGTGTTTATGTTATGCAGCGGATTTGGGATGGGCTGATCTCCCGTCCAGTAAGATTAAAAAACGGAAGTGAAATGAGCTTTTCACGGATGATCCATGCTCCACATGGAACAACAGGAATAGAAGAAGAGGAAGAAGAAGGAGAAGATACACAACTGGCTTTCAAATGCAATTAATGTTGGTACTTTTGCGTAAAGTTCATAAATGCAATATTTTTAAATTTATACTAATAAAATAATCAATTTAATATTTAATACAGCATGTTGTGAATGCCTCAGACTTGTAATGATGTCAAGTATTTATACGAAGGCTATAATGCTATGAAGAAAATTATCTCCGTTTTGGATTCAACATTGCATGTTTCATAACGTATTTTTGACCTGCAACTCTCACTTTTTCTCCATTTCCCCCTGAATTCTTGACATCCCTAACAAAGTACTTAGCTTATAACAGAATAACAAACAGTATGAATATAAGGCTAACGGAATTGAAAATTATCGTAAAACACTTATTTATGTGTAGCCATAAATGGAGGAAAAAGTTGCAGTATGCAATCTTCAGTTGAGATTCTGTGTGAAGAGAAAAAGTTGTGAGGAAAACTAATCGCATATTTTCCTTCTACTACAGTTTGAATATCTGATAGGGCAAGCTAACAGAAGCTTTAGTGTGTATGCGCAATGAATTCGATAAAACGACACAATCTGAGAGGATGCAGTGTATGTATTAATACTTCAGTGAAAGGAAATGACGCGAGTTCTTGCAATAAATTTAAATTATGTTCATAATTTCCGTTTAATTTATTTACCTCTCTTCTCCCTGCAGAAGTCGCTTCGGAAGTGATAATCTTCCTTGCAGGCGCATGCGCCGTCAATACAGGCACCGCCATCTTGTCCAAGTGTCTCGTGGCACTGGACATCTTCCTGACAATCATCTCCGTGTGTTGTAGCAACTGTATGGGCAATATAATGCGTTGTGAACCACTATAATTATAGGCAAGGCTCAAGTGATCCCTGCGCTTAATTAATTAAGCAATTAAGAAGCACGCAAATTAAGATGTAAGGGGGAGTAGTGGTATCGCTCCGCTATTTTTGACCTCGGCATTAGATGGAGGTGAGAGATCAACTGTACGCCCTGGCCGCGTTATCTTCGGGGAAAGAGCCCTCAGTGCACAGTGAATAGGAGGTTTCTTGGGCCCCAGAGCCGGTCTGGACTCTGTAGGGTAGAGAACCCCCTCTTTCCCTTGCCGAGAATCGAACCTCGGCTGTCCAAGAGCAATAGTAAAATTATAAAAAATTGTGTCTCAACCAGAAGGAAATTTACTTTTTACATTAACCATTTCTTGTGAGAAATGAATATACCAGACTACACGACGTCGAAATGCAGAAAACCGTAAACTTAACTGCTTGAAATTCTTAAAACTTGCCTACTATTTGCAGTTTCTTTGTAATATAAAATAACAACTCCTGCCCTGACTCTTCGCTTAGTGGGAGGTGAAGTCCAACTGGCTCCACTCGGCACGGCGGCCACTGATGGGCCTATTGTAGCCTGCCCTGGGATGATTATGATGATGGAGAATTTGATGAAATGAAGATTGGCAGGGGAAACCGAAGTACTCGGAGAACCCCCCCCCACCAGCGGCACTTTGTCCACCACAAATCCCACTTGACTAGACCCGGGATCGAACCAGGGCCGTCGCGGTGGGAAGCCAGCGACCAATCGCTTGAGCTATGGCGCGGCCGACCCTGACTCTTAGTATGTCATGGTACTTGATCAGACTTTCGAATTCAAGACCACTACAACTCAGAACCTATAAAGTTGAATAATCACAGCAGCTAATATGGACTCATTAAACAATACAGGGGTTGTAAGTTTTGAGGTTTTCACGGCGATGACTATGAAGAAAGTCGTCTTCTGGGTTTTGGCGCCGTGTATTCTTCGTTTTGGCCGACGTTCCTCCNTATAAAAATAAAAATACTTTCATTCTTGAAGAGAGTCGTCTTCTGGGTTTAGGCACCGTGTATTCTTCGTGTTGGCCGACGTTTCGGAGGAACGTAGCGCCTCCATCTTCAGAGCAGTTGAATGGCTGGAATGCAGAGAGCATTCCAGCCATTCAACTGCTCTGAAGATGGAGGCGCTACGTTCCTCCGAAACGTCGGCCAACACGAAGAATACACGGTGCCTAAACCCAGAAGACGACTCTCTTCAAGAATGAAAGTATTTTTATTTTTATAATACTGCAAAAGTTTAAATGAAAACGTCAAACATCTGGGAGTAATCATTTCACGTGTTCTCCTGTCATCTCATATTACAGTTATACGTTATCAATTGTTATGGAAAATAATTTCCTATGAAGAAACGACCATGTGATTTATGCATATGTGCCGTATAGCCTGCTAGTAAAATAAACAGTTGTATGAAAACAGTATTTAACATACATTCCTGAAATATATCTGTGTATATCCTACAGGGAATTTATCACGGTTTCTTGGCCAGTAATTGCACAAATTACTGATATACAAATTGATTCTAAATTACTGTCGGATTTTCCATGGCCTATAATTTTCAAACCGGAAACTTTCTCTTGAACAATAGCCATTTTGATGTGTGACATCATATATTCTCCCAGACGTCAATGCGGCGAGTACAGCGTTCCAAATACAACTTTCTGTGTTACGTTTACGTATCCAGTAAGCGGTTTATTTTGTTTTTTTCTTTCGGTTTGAAAATCACAAGCCACGGATTCCCCGACAATAATTTAGAATCACTCTGTACGGATATAGGTATTTCTTCCCTACTAGTGTCATCTTGCTCATCCGAACAGTTGTAGGTGTTTTATTAAATATTTTCGTATTATATTTTTCTTGATTATCTGTATGGTACTGTAGCATTTAGAGCCGTTTCTAGGCAACGATCGCAAACTAACAGCATAACCTCTTACTTTCAGATATATTTTATTAGTGTCCCCCGTCAATGCCTATGTCTCCTAAGCTGCCTCCTTCTTTCAGATTTTAAGACTACAATTTCGTATGCCTTTACACTTTATTCCATGATCTTTTCCTCCCTTATTTGGTCACCCTAATAGTTTTTTCTTCAAGAGTAATGTAAACAGGCCGTGAAAGTCCATATGGTTGTGAGAGGTTGAGGCTTCCACATCTTCTAGACAATCGGCTCACAGATGTCGGTAAGGTTGTCAGCCTTACCAGCCGGCCGCCTTTTACTCCCCAGAAAGAATCCTGGTACTCATTTCTGTTAGAGGCTGAGTCGACCCCAGGGCCATAGTGCGGCTGGAAGCATTAGGTCAATTGAAAAATTTCAATGACCTCATTTGGAATCTAGCACCCGACCTTCCGTCTTGTACCATAATGCCTTAACCAACTAAGCTACCGCGTAGGCTGCGCCATAGCTCAAGCAGTTAATCGCTGGCTTCCCACCGCGACGGTCCGGGTTCAATCCCGCGTCTGGTCAAGTGGGATTTGTAGTGGACAAATTGGCGCTTCGGTTTCCCTTGCCAATCTTCATTCCACCAAATTCTCCATCATCATAATCACCCAGGGCAGGTACAATAGGCCAATCAGTGGCCGCCGTGCCGAGTGGGCCCAGTTGGATTCCACCCCCCACTAAGCGAAAAAAGCTACCGCGTACCCCTTTTTTTATTCAAGGCTAGATATTCAAATTATGAAGATCCTCGTCGTGCAAGTTCCTTCAGCCTTCAGCTGAATTTCTTCATTATTCCTTCTTTGTGGACGTCCCAATATTCGTTTTTCAATAGGGTAGGTTAGGTTAGGTTAGGTTAGGTTTGACGCTGATCATTCTGAGCCCTTATTTATTTGGAAGATTATAGATGACATGAAATTTATTTTAATTAATTCTCGGTAATTTTTATTTCAAAAAGTCTTATGTTTCGATATTACTGGAAATGTATCGTGATCTTTAATATCGTATTTCATTGTCTGGGACTTGAAATACGGTGTTTATGTTGAAATTCCTAGATTTTGGCAGAAACAAGAAATCCGGAGTTATGACATTTATGATCAGTCATAAAATTTAGCTCGGGTACAGGGAACCGGACGCGCCTAAAAGGACAGGTCAGAGCTTGTTACAATTGCCTGTGAATGAGGGCCAGTATGATTGGGTTGCCTCGTTCAAGCTTCCCACGGAAGATGGGATGAAATGTATATGTCAACCATCTTTCGAATTCCCGGTGTGGGGGTGCAAGCCATTCCACAAAGGGGGACTTTCACAATAGATTCCGAACTGAAAGGACGTGACCTTGCACGCTCCGAGACATAGCCTGCCGATAGTAACTCTGTAACATACAGCACAAGAATACATTAATTTAACAGTGTGGTGAATTAGCAGGTAAATAAACGTTAATTGGCTCAACTCTTAGAAAACGCTTTCTGCGGCATCGCTACCCTGAGACCCATGCAAACCGACCCAGCTAGTTTCCCGTACCTATACCGATCTTCCTTAGTTTGATCTGTGAGAACAACTTCCAGTAGCCACCATACACTCTCCTAAGGTAGAAACAGGTGTAGCAGGGATAGCACCGTTCCGACTGCGCCGATACAAGCTAAGGCGGGTTGGAAAAGAGCGGTGTTAAGTTGGAGTTTGTGGGACTCTACTGCTCGTTTATGGATGCATCTTTATATTAATTCTAGCACTTATTGTGATAAATGTTATTCTCTTCCCTCAAATATATACGAGCATCTTCAGTTCAGATTTTGTCTCCCAATGTTACACCACATTATATATGGATAAATACCGTCTTAAGTGCAACAAATTTTTATTGTAGTTTTTACTTCTTTTCCTCCTCCACACTACATGTTTCGGCCCTAAATGGCCATCATCAGGTGTGTATCACTCACGTAGCTGTTACACTGCTTTTTAAAATTTAAAATTACCAGTCTTTCTAATTGTATAAAATCTTTGTTAATCTACACGCGTCGATTTGATTTTTAAATTAGCACTTTTTAAAACTTAATTCAAGTTAAAATGTCTATAAGATCTCTGTTCTTTCTTTTTCAA